CCTGCTGCTGCTACTTCTATTGCCGCAGAAGAGGAGGCTGACGTACCGAGCCGATGGCAGCTGTAGGCTGGCAGCGTCAGCTCTGCAGTTGCCTTTGTCAAACAGCATGACTGTACACTGTACGGCAAGACATGTACATGACATTAGGGGGAGGAGGACAGATCTGCAAAGAGCTCTGCTGCTTGATGTGCTCATCAAGCGGCCAAATCGAAGGCTGCAGACGGTCGCTCGGTGGTCATCATCACTGCCGATGACAAATGTCATCACTGCTGATGTGCCCCAGTGTGGAGGGTTTGCTTTACAAACCTAAATCGAAAATGTATTCGGCAAGAAGGTGTGCATGCTCTCTGTCTGCCGAGTGAGCGCATCACCAGTGTAATTGTACAGCCAGTCAGTGAGTAAGGCAGTCAGCGAGAGTGAAGGGGGCACTGGCGTGACGCACTGGCGCGGCGATGGCGACGGCGTCGGCGACTGGTTACAGGCAGCAGATGCCACTTGCCCCGCGAGTCAATTGTTGTCTGGCTGTCCATTGCCGATTAGAGAAAGTGCCCACCAGAGAGCCTCTCCTCTTTCTGCGAGTTGGCTAGCACTGACGAAACAATGGAAAGAAGTGTTCACATGTAAGAAAGTGCCGTCGTGGCAAAGATATTCCCTGGTATACTGTGATTACCACAAAGACAAACTCGAGTAATTCTTTAGAGTACTGTTGCTGTTCAGCAGTGATCGAAAAGCAGTTTTGCTGAAAAAAACGCTGCTCGGAAGGGGGTGCATTCTCAGTGAACATGCAGAATATTTTGTCTAAGAGAGGTGTCAACTACTCTACAATCAGTGGTAACACTTACTTTCGTAGTAGTAGTGCTGATAACATGAAAGTAGTGCTGGCTCGATGCAGATTAGATGGCACTTGTGCTGCGGCGTGGCAAGGCACTAACCCTACTCAAGCCGAATGGCAAAGTCATGGCAGTGGGTCATGACAAAGTTTTGTGAGGAGTCAGTGAGGGAGTGCCAGTGATCGGCGGTCGCCTGGTCACCGGGCGCGTTAGATGACACAGACAGTGGCAATTGCATTGCTAAGCAAGAATCGATTGACTACAGAATAAACCTACGCAGTTGGCAGAGGAAGAGGCAGAGGGAAAGTGTGTGTGAGTGTGTATGTGTATGTGCGTATGGTGCCACTGGCGCCCTTTAGGTGTCGTTGCGTGCAAGTTTACAGCGCACCACAAGCGGGCGTCATCGAAAGAGTATCGCTTCGGCACTTGCTCACTCGCAGGACCAGGGTACATGTACTGGTGCGAGCACTGTGCCACTGTACCGATCCGAGTATGGCGGCACGGTGAGCCTGTGCGCGCTCCCACTCTGAAGCTGCTGCTGCTGTCAGAGTTCGGTCGGAAGCTGGTGGCTGGTGGCTGACGTCAACTGACAATAACAACAATAACTTCACTCTCTCAGGCGGCTCAAGTTGGCCCATCACGGCCACTCTCACCAGACGTCCCTGACAGTGCTCACTGACTACGGCCCTAGCCACACTCTGGTCACACTGTCACACTGACAAAGAGCAAATAGAGGACAACTGGAGAAAATACTGAAAAAGGACACACATAGCAGGCAACTTACAGGCTTACTCGTTGAAATGTCAATAGTGATAGTCGATTTGCCGGGGGTGCATGTTGACTTGGGCGATGGCAGTGCTGATAACTGACAGTGAGTTTAATGGCAACTGAAAATCTGTTGCAGTACTCTGCTGAGGCACCTCCAGGTCACTGCGGAGTAGTGCTGAGAGAGCTGAGGAAGTGCCAGTGATCCCCGGTACCGAGTGTCATTGAAATCAGCGAGGAGCTGCCGCGCATTGGTGATTAGAAAACTGAGCTGACAGTGCCGATGCACAGTGACCCGGTGATGACAATGGCGCGCAATGATTAGATAGACTGCCAGACAAGTGTGACATTACTGTTGATAGTTGGAAGTGTCAGTAGGCAAGTGGTTCAGGAGGACACCGAGGAAGAGGTTCCCAGAGACTAAGACTGCCAACGGATCAAAGATAGTGTGCGGCTTCAAGGTCTGCCCAGGGAGAGTGACACACCGAGGCGGCCGGGCACGACGACAACAAGATCGACGCAGCGGTAGTCCGACGTATATATGGCGCCATCATCTCGGAACAACGATGGCGTCGGTAATGTCGGCGTGGTAAACAAACTATAGGGCGAATGATGGTGGTGGTGGCGGTGGACGTCGTTGCCGCTGCCGCGCAGGATTCGCAGTGAGAGAGCGGCGATGAGGCGAGAGAGGCAGGCAGGCAGCGAAGGAGAGGGGCACGAATATTCGAGACAAGTGACGGACGGAGGAGCGAGGTGATCCGGGCGCCTGGCGCCCCACAGGCAGACTGCCACCGAGAACGTCTGCCAGTACTGTGGAGTCGAGGCGGTAGAAGAAGCAGAAGCAGCAGCAGTAGCTCGTGCAGTGGTGTAGTCGTACTCTGATCACACAATTGCGTCGTAGTTTCGGCGCCGTGCAGCAATTGGTCGTTGGCTGGTTGTTCTCTCTCTCTCTCTCCCTCTCTGGCTGCCTTGCAGACTGACTGGTTGGTTGGTTGGCTAGTTGGTTGGCTGGTTGGCTGGTTGTTTCGTCGGTTCGGTGCTCGATGTGTTTGACTCGTCTTGCATCGCTAGCGAGTGAGAGGTGTCTAGCAGCCGCCTCATCCCTTCGACTAGCACAAGACAACTCATCAGCGAGGAGGCAGTAATGACAGCTGCAGTGTACACAGGTTGGCCGGCAAGCTGGTGGCCAGAGAAAGGGGCGCCAGTTCACTTTGAGTGAATGCGCGAGTGAGTGAGTGAGAGTGAAAGAGTGAAGGAGTCACAATTGAAAGGGTGTAGACCAGTTGCTGCTGGCCAGCACACCTTGAACGCGCTTCGGTGCATGCTGAGCAAGTCGTTTGGCGTCTCCGATCAAATCAAGGAGTGAAACCACAACAGCAGACCGCCAGGCCTCTCCTGCAAAGTGTCCTCTCCTCAGCACTCATATGACCAATGTACCTAGTCAGGCACGTGCTCAATGAGATTAAGCTTCTAGATCCTCTCTATCACTGATTGCCCCATCTAGCAGGGTGACACACGTAGGTGTACAACTTTATTTCACTGTGACGCTACATCATGAACATGATCACTGCTCTTTCCAGTCATGAAGACATTTGCCCAGTTCTAAGGCTGCATCAGCAGGCTAAATGGAAGCACCTGCAGAATTGCCAAGAACTGCAGGGGTACATAATTGAGATGAGTGATAGTGGATAGCGTCAGTGGGAGAGAGGGAGATTGGACAAGCTCTGCTGTTGCTGCTGCCTGTGGCCGGTGATGTTTCAGAAGACGATGTCTGCAAAAACATGATGTGACAGGATAGACACACATCGATTGATGCTGATCAAGAGCCTGTTCTCCACTGACTGCCCACTCGCAACCAGCACCAGTGGGCACAAAGTGGCAAATTCGATAACCTTTGCGTTGGAGCGACACTCTCTGGCAACTACGATTGGCACACTACCCAATTGGTTGGCTGTCAACCCTTTCCGAGCCAGGCTGATCAGTGGTTGAAGGGGAGTGCTCATCAACATCAGCCGCACTAATGTCACTGACTGACAGATGCTGCAGTTTGCAGTTGGCGATGGTGTGAGGAGAAAAGAGCACTTGCAAAGTGGCGCGCACTCAGCTCTCTTTCTTTCTTTCTCTGTACAGTCTGTGTACACACCGAGCTGATAGTTAAGGCGGCAAAACTTGAAACACGGGGCAAAGCTGGAGCGAGTGTTCACCTCACCTCATCATCGCAGGTAGCTCGAGAAGGCTGTAAAGTGAGAGTGGTGCTGCAAATGGCGCCAAGCATGCTCGCCGGCCGACCGACCGGCCACTCGTGAAATGGGGGCTGAATTGGCTGGTGGAGGCACTGTCTGATGAGACACTGGTATCACCACCATGATGGCTCCTCTCGCCATGACTGGCACTTTCAGTGGCCAACAGTGGTCGCGAACATCACCATTAGAGACGGCCTTGATGGCTTCAACCGTGGCAACAGCCTTTCTTTCTCTCTCTTCTTTTCTCCAACTCTCGCTCTCCGTCTGACCATTCACTGTACACTGAATACTGTAGACGTGTCCATGCCTCATGCTAATGCAAGCCATGGCGCCTCTTCACAATGCTCCTCGTCATTATCATCTACGGATGACATCGATTGTAATCAGCCCTCGTCGTAGTCTGTTCGCCCCAGAGTGCGAGAGATGCATTGAGGCAGTGATTCCCGATTGATCGAGCACACACTCCCAGGCACACAGCACAAATGGCTCAAGGCAGTGCAATGCATCGCTGCAACGCTGCCAAATGGCAGCAGCTCTTCAGCCTCTCATTGTCAGTGTGATTCACTCTCAACCCTTTTACCACCACGTTTGCACACACCAGGCAGACTGGTTTCGATTGCGAAAGCTCATTAACTTTCACTCGCCACTCTAGATGTCTTCCACACAAAGGGGAGGGAGGGGGTTGCAAGCGGCAAACCTGATTTGGTAATTAGGAATGGCAGGTGGCCACCAAATCGCTAATGTTCCATGTGCTCGGTCATTGACAACGAAGGGCGCTAACAACCTATAGACGCAGGCATTCTCTAGCAAATGACCAAAAATGAAATGCACAATAAAACCCACACCAAATACTTGAAAGTTTAAACGACCTCGAGTGTACTTGTGACGCTGCTGCTACTTTGCTTAGTGTCGGTCATTCTGCTTGAAAAAATGCTTGCCATTTTGTTTGTAAGAAAGCTGGTGGTGACTTGCAAAAACCAAGAATTTGCGAGAATAAAGGAAACTGAAGAAAAGGAAGCAAGCTGATTTTGTCAAACACACATTTCGAAACACTTCGGAAATGTTTCAGAAACACCGAAAAAAAGTTTTCTTCTGAAACACGTGCATTTTGTTTTGGATTCACTTCTTGAGTTTTTGTTGTGTTTAAAATCACAAATCACATATGGCTTCCACAAAAAAGACGGGTAATTCTTTTGGTTTGTTTGGTTGTGAGCCTGCCAAAGAGCCTGATGAATACTCAAACAAGCGTCTGAAGACTGAACCTGAATTGGAAGAAGGAGAAGTCGTGGAGTTCAATGTGCCCAGTTGTAAAGATAATGTACAGTTTGATACATTGCTCTCCAATTTTCAACAGGAAGAATCTCAAAAGTCAGCATTTAAAGAAAAGCAACATTGTATTATTTGCTCCGCAAATCCACCCAAATACACCTGCCCGAAATGCGGAATGAAAACGTGTTCGCTAAACTGTTGTTTAGCACACAAAAAAGAGTTCAGCTGCAATGGTGTTCGAGACCGGCTTTCTTTTGTACCACTTAAAAGCTACTCTGAACATAACTTCCAATCTGGTAAGTGTATTTTACAAACATATATCATTCGTAGAACTAAATTGTTTATTTGTATGCCTAGACTGTAAATTCCTCGACGAAATCTCCGAAGCAGTAAACACATCAAGTCGACTTTTCCCCAAGAATCGCTTCCGAAAGAACCAACAAAAGCACCATTAGCATTTTACAAAACCTGTACATAGCAAATTACTTTACTACCCTACATTTCATAAAATTACTAATAATCAAAGTAAAATCAACTGATCTGCCATTTGAAAAAGTAAATAAAAATAATTATTTGTTGGAACATAATAATCTAGACTGTCATGCCACCTGGCAGCAACAGTGTGCTTAGTTTGCAACTTGTAAACAGCACTTGATCGCCTGTTGTGCGCCAAAATAGAACCGAATTCACTTGCTTTCACTCTCCATCACTTGCCTTCATCCTGAATCACTTTTTTCTCCTCGTCACTTTTGTATCTTCAAAATGCAAGAGCCGGAACTGACCAAAAGGCGTATCGTATCGCTCATTGACATGGACTGCTTCTACGTTCAGTGCGAACAGCGGCTTTCACCCGAAACCTGGGATAAACCGTGCGCTGTTGCCCAATACAACAACTGGACCGGTGAGATAGAAATTCCAGTTTCTAAATGGATAGTATCATAAGACAAATCTTTCCTTTTAGGTGGGGGTTTAATTGCAGTCAACTACCATGCTCGGCCTTTTGGAGTCAAGCGCGGAATGCGAAGCGTTGAAGCGAAAAAGTGTTGCCCCNGGCTCGGCCTTTTGGAGTTAAGCGCGGAATGCGAAGCGTTGAAGCGAAAAAGTGTTGCCCCGATTTGCATATCTTTACCGTTCCGGAGAGAAATGGAAAGGCCGATTTGACTCGCTACCGTGAGGCTAGCGGTGAGGTGTTTGACGCCATCACCGACTGCATTAACAAACTCGAAGGGGAACTGGGAAAACGTGGACTCATCATTCTCGAACGAGCCTCAATTGATGAGGCCTTCATCGAGCTGTCGGATTACATCAGCGCCAAGCCTCTGGAGTTACCTAAGGACAGCAATCTTCTGGAGTCTTTTAATACCAAAGTGGTTTTTAATGGACTCTCACTTGAAGATTGGTTGCAGAGCATTCAAAAAGAAGACGGTTCTATTGAAGATTCTCAGCTACGTCTCATTATCGGCACCCACTTGATGGGCAACATTCGCAAACATATCTTTGGTAAGGTATTCTAAAATGGTGGTAACATACAATTCTGATGAGAATCTTTTCTGTTCTATTTCTAGAAAAAACGCAATTTCGATGCTCTGCTGGAATCAGTCACAATAAAATGCTAGCCAAACTTGCATGCGGCGTCAACAAACCCAACGCTCAAACTATTCTTCCACTTGAATCAGTGTCGTCGTATTTTCAGAATATCCCCATTTCTCAGGTCAGATCGCTCGGAGGTCAATTTGGGGAAGGCATTCAGAATTCACTGAACATACAAACCATGGGTCAGCTACAGCAAGTTGACAAAGACACTCTTATGAAGCATTTTGATCCGGAAACGGCTGAATGGCTGCACTGTTACTCACAAGGATACGACTACTCAAAAGTGACCAAACGCAGTCTTGCCTCAAGTATTGGATGCTCGAAAAATTTTCCAGGTAAAACGCTTCTATTTTAGAGAGCTCAAAGCTTATGATCAATTTAATAATATCTCAGGTCATTTGGTATTGGCTACCATGGAGGACATTGAACACTGGGTAAAAGTTCTCTGCGAGGAAGCTTATGATCGAATTGAAAGCGACCGAGAGTTGAACAAGCGTGTGGCACAGCAACTGGTTGTGGGCCACAATTCTTCAAGTGGACAGCACACAAAGGTAAACATTTTTATCTACTCTAAACTTATTTTAATTTTTAATTTCTGTATTTACCAAGGCACTCAACATTACTCTTGATGGCGAAAAGTATCCTCTGCCTGAACAATTGACAAAAATGATCATAAAAGCAGTCTTTGAAGGTTATGATGCAAAAGCTAATCCCCTTTCGAATCTCTCCATCAATGTAACCAAGTTTGAAGCTCAAAAATTGGTTGAAACTTTTCCCACCATTCGCAACTATTTTTCCAAAGTCGATCGCAGTGTATCAAAAGTTTCAGATACAGCTTCATCAGTAGAACCTACTGCGACTAGTGATACCAAAGATGAAACGGTCATTGAAAATGCTGTCGAAACCAACGAAGATCAAGAGGATAAAAAGGAAGTTGACGAAAATGAAAAAGATAGCGAAGAGATTGATAAAGCGAAAGATCCAAAAGCTAATGAAAACGTTGAAAAAGAGAAAGAATATTGCAGCTGTGATTGTAAAAAGTCCGAAACTGATACTAGCAGTGAAAAAGAGAGCCAAGACGGAACGAATTCAGTTGCAAATGAAGAACAGACCAAAACTGCTGAAAAACCCAGTGAAGCTGGTGAAGGTTTGAGTACATACGAAGACTTGCCACCAGAGAGAATGAAACAACTCAAAAACTCTTTCTTTTATCAGAAAGCTTTAGAGCTCTATGATAACCAAAATGATTCTGACAGCGATCTTGTTGACTACCCTGATGATTGGGAAGAAGACGAAGAATTACTGGAGAATGAAAGGAAATCTTCTAATGTTGCTGATGACATTTCTGATGATATAGAANAAAACTGCTGAAAAACCCAGTGAAGCTGGTGAAGGTTTGAGTACATACGAAGACTTGCCACCAGAGAGAATGAAACAACTCAAAAACTCTTTCTTTTATCAGAAAGCTTTAGAGCTCTATGATAACCAAAATGATTCTGACAGCGATCTTGTTGACTACCCTGATGATTGGGAAGAAGACG